TGGGTGCACCATCGATCGGAATCATCATCAAACATCCGCGTGTCAGTTTTGTTTCGTTGGCATTTCACGCATCATTTTGAATCTGCTGGAGAGATACAGTACCAGGTAGTAACGGCAAGGAAAGGTTCAGTCCTCAACTAGAATAGAAAGGTCCGATGAGAGTTTCCACACTACAATTCACGCTGTTATATTGCTCAATACAATGCTTTCAACTGTCCCATGGCATCCAAAGAGAGTCGTCGTCTTTGTCCATGACGACGCAAAAATCATGCCTGCTGTGTCGAGGCGGACAACAACAGTATTCCAACGATCCTTATAATGCTTTACCACAAAACAATGATTACAATCCCAACAGCTACAATCCACAAAATCTACCACAAGATCCGGATCACATCTTTCAAGAAGCATTCCAAGATCGCGTCGATCAATGGCGACAAGAGCAAATCCAACATCGGGATCAAATGTCCTTTAATGAAAAAACGTCTCTGAGAGATTCCAAGGGCCGGATGAAGTTAATGGCTACAGCGGGCAAGGGAGCCCGGGCGTTTCTTTTTGGGATTCTCATGTGGCGAAACATCCATTTGATGGAGGTGGCGGACAAGACGACCAAGGGATCCTGGAAATCATTTTTGGTTGGTAACTTGGCCATCTTATTCATGGGTAACTTTGCCGGAGTCTGTGCAGCCATCACGGGGTCGAGTGGGCATGCGGCTACCAAACGGTTCAAGGCCATTTTGAATTTGGACAAGCTGCTGGAGGTTGTGTTGCTGGTTTGGTACTTGTTGCGACTGACCTTCATCCCAAACAAACATGTACCACGAGAAATTTACATTGCGAGCATCTTTCATTCCATCTTCTTTCTCATTCAATCCCAATCCTTTACAAGAATCTCATGGTAAGTGTTTTGCTTTGTGCATTTTGAAATGACGTCTGATCGGATATTTGTGTCTAAACATTTTCCTCGCTCGATCTAATCTGTCATAGGGATGACAAGCTGTTTGGTGCATTCGGTGCCAAGCCAGTAGACGAAGATTTCGATGACAAGCCACCGGGATATCCAGATGCATCGATGAATCAATATCCCCCGCAGAATGACAATTATGAACACAGGGCGTAAAAATCTAAATTTCTAATTGTTTACAGCGTCGACCTATTACCAATAGTAAAATTGACACTAAAGCTATCAAAATACATTCCATCATGGGAACACAGGAGGAGACTCAGGTTGTAACCTCCGTCCATTGATTCTCCCTGGAGATATCGGACTTTGTCTCCCTTTTACTTTGCGTGATTGTGGTGTAGTTTCAACGACACCTTTCATGACAGATAGATCCGCCGCGTCGTCAATTGCTCGACGGTTCTCCTGCTCCTTTTCATTTCTTTCAGCTGCCTTTTGCATCAAACCTCGTACATCCATTGGTTTGTCGTTCCGCAGTCTGGCTTCTGTAATAAGTCTCTCTTGTGCAAGTTCATGCGCCGACCGAAGCGCTGCCATCCGAGTTTCAAAAGCTTTCGAAAGCTTGTAGAGATCCTGTCGGAATTTCTCATCGTGAGCCAGTGCAGGGTCAATCTCGATAGCAGCTTGTGTAGAGTACATTCCAGAAGCTGGATTGAAACCACTTGGTGATAGAGGGCCTGAGCTTCCATTCTGATAGGTGATCCCATTTCCCGCATGATCTGTCGAACTGATGGCAACGGTTGCAAGTCCGCTGATATCATCTGGGCCTGATGAACCCTGAGGTGCTGGAAGCTCCGGCGTATCTAGTGATCGACTACTTTTGACAGCATCTTTCTCGACTTCTCGCTTCTTCTTTACTCGATCAAGCTTTTTCCGCAGCAGATCTACGACTCGTCTCAGAGCTAGCAAACCAGGCTTTCGATTGTAGGAATCAGCCAATTTCAAATATTTTGCTCGTGCATCCGCCTCGGCTGTAGACGTTTCACCCATGTGCATTTCTCGCAGAGCAATCACTTCCTTTCGAACAAATGGGTGGGAGCTTAATTGAGCAGAATCGTGACGCTGACTGGCTTCTTTTTGGCAACAACAACGAACAAAATCAAGCATCTCCGGAGACCAATTGTCAGGATCCGCCATTGTTGGCGCGGGCTTGGTAGGAATCACAAAAATAGCCCGAAGTGGATGTAGATTAGCGTGAGGTGGTGATCCTTCCGCCATTTCTATGGCTGTGATTCCCAGGGACCAGACATCTGCACGTCCATCGTAGTGTGATTCCCTAATTACTTCCGGAGCCATCCAATATGGTGAACCAACCACCGTTTTTCGTTTGTTAATTGTGTTCGACAACTCAGCAGAAACCCCAAAATCTGCCAATTTGACATGGCCACCTGCTGTCAGTAATACATTCCCACATTTAATATCACGATGGCAGACGTTGGCAACACCATGCAAGTACTCCAAGCCAAGAACAATCGATGCGCAGACAGCTCGAATGCAATCTTCTGGCAGCACAATTCCATTATTCGCCTCCAACAGATCACTCATACTTCCTCCCTCACAGAATTCCATGACGATCCACATTTCCCCAGGTTTCTTTGTTGGTGGCTTGATAAAGCACTCACAATATCCCACAATATACGGTGAGTCACACCGACTCAAGATATCAATTTCCCCCTTGATCTTTTCTTCTTCACTGGCGGAACTACTGGCATTTGCAATAATCTTTACCGCCACGACCGCACCCGATGGCCTATGCTTTGCCTTGTACACCGCCCCAAAGGACCCTTCGCCCATTAGATTGAGGATTTCCAGCTCCCGTGATCTGTCGGACGAAATCTGCTGTCGATGGTGGAAAGAAAGAGAACGTTTTTGTAAGGACATACGCTGCAACAGTGTTTCAGATGGCGAACGAATGTGCATCGGAAGATATGATTCTTCTTTTGCATCTTCTGCCAAGATCGGAGAAGTTGTGATAATGTAAGGAGGCCGAGGCCTTTGGTGCAAGATGGTGGTGGAAGTGGCAGGCGGCATGGTCTCTTCGGCTTTATTGTGATTGTGGGGAGCAGATTGAGTGTGTCTGCTTCTTTGTTCTGCTGCTGCTGCTGCTGATGACGATGATGATGCATTCAGTTCTTCTTGTCGTGCAACTTGAAAGGTTTGAATCGCCAATGAGTTCATCAAAACCTCAGACTGCCGGTACAGTTTGTGGAACTATGTATCATAAAACGAACTGGTCGCTTGGTATGCTGGATCCAGTTTTTGTGTGCACCGCCATGTTCATCAAAATAAATGTACCTGCAAGTAACCGTCAGCGGCAGCGGCAGCATAGTTCGAAAATTGTGCTTTTTGTAAACACTCGTACTAACGACCTTCCCGCGGGAACCACAAACCCTTGTATTCAAGTTTTCCAAGCCGCAAAAAAAACGGTTCATCCCCGGTTTGCACCAAAGCCTCACTCAAACCTGCCTGCTTCACCCTGTCACCATCCTTGACTTTATCCTTCACTTGGTCTTCTTCATCCATCCTGCAATCTGGGGACACTTACAGACATGATACTGAAAATATTAAGGGGGTGCTGAAACCTTGGGAGGATTGTCAATGACATTTGAATCGACCTCTCTGGCTTGAATTCGCTCACGCAATCAGACCGGTGCTCAGCACGTGCCCACTATTAATTGTTAGGAAATGGTCCAGTCGTAGAGGTCCAAATTCCGTCGATTTGACTCACCAACGGCCAATTTCAAATTATGTGTTGGTTGCACATGTATGATAATGCCAGTTAGTACCAAGGATAAAGTGTTAGTACAAGGTGATTATCAGATTATTGTACTGCCTGTAATAATGGTAACTACAAAAGAGGCTTGAACGTCCCGGGCGCATATCTATAATGTATAGTATCCATCACTTTACAAATCAACTTGTGGTGCAGGCTTGAGGTTCAATCGACCTCGTAGGTCTGCCAAGGGTGTTTCAAACTCCTCTTCGTAATACACATTCATAAGTGGAGTGGAAGATTGGCTCGCCTCCAATGCCCAAGGAAGATATTGAGTCATGAGAATCCTGCGTTCCTTGGAATCCAGTCGCAAAGCACCAACGGTGGACGATAGAGCCGCAATGGGAAGACCAGTCTGAAAGAGCTCTAGGTATTTTAGTCCCAACTCACCCAAGACAGTTGGAGGGAGCCCCGTAATGGCGTGCCAAAAGTCGTGATTCTAGAACGAATATATTATATGAGATATGACATGACATATTCTACAATTGAAAAATTCAATAAGAAAAAAGCAAGTCACTGGCAAACGTACCTGTCGATATCGAAGCATAATATAGGCCAAGGTTTCATCTTCAATGTATTTCACTGGATCTCTTCCATCCGGATCGAACCCATGCGATTTGAGAAACTTTCCATAGGCTTGACCAAATGTTAATGGTACGTCTGGGTCTTCTGGGACACTGTCAATGAGCTCTTGGTACGGAATTGTTGCTTTTCGGACGACCGGGCGATCTTCTAAAATTCGCCTCCCGGTTTCATCTGCCATCATTTGTGCCTGTATTCGTTCCAATGACACTTGTCCCGTGATTTCTCCTAATCCAGCAACTGCATCGGCTCTGGTCGGATCCGCAAAGGCAGTAGTAGCATGGTGGATGGCGAGGGCAATCTTTTGATGTGGAAAACGAAAATTCTCATTGGTCTTCGGTGGTCGAGGAGATCCATAGAAAGGTGGTTCCTCCAAAGTAGTTGTAGACAAGGATCGAATGGAATCTAGATTGCGATGAGAAGCCCTACTGATTGACTTTATTGGTACAGCCGACCTGCAAAGCAATACTGTGCTGTGCTTTCGGATCATCTTGGGAGAGTACTTTTTGTGTTGTGTTTTTGATTTGAGGTTTTTGTTTGGACTAACTTAGGCCTTTATAACGTTTTACCATCATCAACTATCTTCAACTGACACAAAACACGAAACATACAGTACAACCTCGACAAAATGAATTCCGAAATGGACAGCGATCGGGAAGAGCCACCCTTACCACAGCCAATGGAGGAAGAATCAGAAGCCAACATTGAAACTGCCATTCGATTTTGGAATCACCCTTCCTTAGCGAATATCTCGTCTGCAGATAAGAGGAGCTATCTTCATGCCAAAGGGGTTTCGGATGCCGAGATCCACAAGGCTTGGGAACGTATAGTGGAAAGGGATATACCGAATAATGCTGGTGGAACGAACGCTATAACAACAACCGTTCCCGTTGCTCCCATTGTGGCCCAAGGACAAGGAGCTCAAGGAGCACTCGATTCAGCAGCAGCACGACAAACCCCCAACCTCCACACTCCTGGTCAAATGTCGTATCCTCCAGCATCGAACAACTACGTACAACCGACACCAACACCTTACTACAACAACAACAACAACCAATATCCACCAGCACCACAAGAAATGGAAGAAGAGGGACCATTGACGTTAATGCAGGGTGCGTCACTAGTCACTTTTGGAGGCTTTATTGGGTTGACTGCTGCAGCAGCATCTCGATGGTTGAATGGAGGAGACTTTGAAATATTGCCGGGACCCAAGTATCCTGCCGACATCGGAGAACAGCGATCACAATTTCTAAAACGACTCGAAGAGGAGGCGGAAGAAGAAGAGGAAGACGACGATGACGACGACGAGGAAGATGTAGAGGAAGATGGAGTTGACCAAGAAATTGTAGCAGCGCTATCACAACAGAAATTGATTCAGCAAGTCGAGAGTATAGCGGAGAGTTTGAGGGTAAACACAGCTGTACAAGAGAAACTTTTGAATAAGCTTACTAGCACAGGGACATCCATTACCGATGAAACGATGGGATTCCTTCGATCGACGGATTCATCGAAGTCCAAGGAGACCAAGACGGAGTACGACAAGTCGGATGTACAAATGATATGGAAGGAGCTGGTTCAAATACAGGCCGAACTGAGATCTTTGAACAGTGCGATGAAAGGTAAAAAGTCTGAGAAAAGGGTAGAGTCGACCTTGAATAATCTTGATGTATGCATTGAGGGGATCACCAAGAAAATGTTGTCATCGGCAGGAGATTCAACTCCAGAGCCGTCGATGGCAAAGCCCTCTGGCGAGGATCCGCAGCCGCAGCCACCGCAAGATGCATCCACAGTGTCTGTAGAAGAGATTGGAAAGGCATTGGAGGAGTTGCAAATGCAAAATGAAACTGCAACAACCTCGCAGAGTATCCTGGATGCTATTCGAACTGTGGCAGAAAAGAACGATGCAAAGGCAAGACAGGTAGGCTGTCAGTTGCTACTACTATATGTCGCCAACCTATCCGGGAACCCCAACAATCCACGTTATCGAAAGATTTACACATCCAATGAAAGCTTCAAAAAGGTCGATCAATTGATCGGTGGCAAGGATCTCTTGATGGCAGTTGGCTTTGAGGAAAGTGGGAATTATCTGGAATGGTTCCCCAATGGCCCTCCAGCGCAAGAGTCATCGGCAATCGAAGTGTTGAAGAAGGCTACGGAAGCGTTACGCATCCTGAAGAGTGGCGAGAAATCAGACGATTTGACGAATAGTGCTCTTGCCGTATTCCCATTAAACACGACGGCTTCGGAGAACACTGAACAACCATCGTCAAATGAGACCGCTGTCCCTGATTCCGCTGTACCCGATACAGTCAAAAGTTAGTGACTAGGTTTAATATACAATCTTGGTTGATTTTACAATCATTAGTTATCTAGATTGCTTCCAGATTAATTCCCCGAACCATCACCTAACCAAAAGGATCAAACTGTGCCGCAGGAGGGCGTTGTTGTTGCTGCGGTGGTTGTTGATACTGCTGTTGCTGCTGGGGTGGAACGCCTCGGTACGCTTGTTGCTGTGCAACGTGTTGTTGGTGAGGATGTCCGTGTGGGTACGCGGCATGGGGATTGTGGTATCGCATTGGTGCTCCTTGCGGGTAACCTGGATGCTGTGGTTGACCCTGAACTTGTGGCGGGTAACCAGGCATTTGCATTTGCATTTGAGCTTGAGGGGGCACACCCTGCGGTGGTACACCTTGAGCGGGTAAACCTTGTGGCGGTACACCTTGCTGATATCCTTGGGAAGCGTATCCTGGAGCTTGCGGTTGAGGTGGAGCTTGTGCACCGTAGCTGGGTTGTTGCTGTTGTTGAGGTACACCTCGCTGGTCAGGATATCCCTGAGTTGGTTGCATCTGAGGTACTGCCCCGGCATTTGGTGGGTACCCAAAAGGGGGCATTGTGGCAGGAGGCGCAGCTCCTGGAGATACTCCAGCGTGTTTTGTACCGTAACTGTGCGGGTGGCCTAGTTGCGGTGCGGGTTGTGGTGCAACTAGTGGTGCTGCAGCAGTCTGGGCTGTTGGCATTACAGAAGTACCTTGAGGTTGTGCAGCGACCGCAAAAGGATCATGCGGAGTTGCCGTTCTAGCTTGGCTTTGCTGCGGTTGAGATATTGAGGTATTCTGAAAGATGCTCAATAGGTCGTCTGCAGATCCTGGGCTTGGCGCATTTGGAGTGCCTGCAGTGACGGGTGCGGCACCGAATTGATTTGGTGGTGCTTTCTGTTGCATAGGAACAGGAGCGGGGGCTGCCATGCCTAGAAAGTCTGTTCCTCCCCCAGATGTGGGAGCAGGGGCGATTTGGCCTCTAGCTATCGGATTGAATGCAGCGTGGATCTTGGCAAATGGCATGCCGATCCTGATGCGACTTTCCCTCGTGTACTATTGGACCAAAAGGACAAAATTAGCTACAATTTTGCACAAACGTCGCAAGGACAACATCCAACTTACCCTTCCTGGATCACTTTTTCTCATGATACGACGCTTGTTTATGCAAACTCGGCGAATGTTGAAGAGTTTAGCTCGGTCTACCAACAAGTTGTAGACCTGTATAGCAGCTTGTCGAATTTGAGTGCAAATCTGTGGACGCATATTCTCATTGTAGTACTTCATCATTCGAATCTTATCCAATCCATCAGTGGCTTCGGCAATTGCAGCGACGGGACCATGGTACAAGAGATTGCGCAAGATTTGGAGAGATTGGAATCCGTGCTTCCAATGCAGCCCCTTACTGTCACGCATACGAACCCAAACGACCGACATCACGTCAAACAGAACAGAGCTGCACTCTCGGCATTGCTCCACCAACTGCGAAACTGCCTTGTTATAATCTCCCTCAAACGTTTTGTTTGAGGTCAACGTCATTGCCATTTTTCGAGCTGACGTTTGAAGGATGACACGTGATGGGTTCTGTTGAGCGACCTGCCGTGCGACACTTCTCACATTGACAACGCTAAAGTCAACATTGTGTTGCCGATGGTACGACGTGCATTTGGAGAATAAAGGAGAAGCAGCGGTGACTGGGTACCGTGTCCTTACTTCTTCCACTCGTGCCTTGGCAAACTGTACAAACATTTGGCTCTGACAAAAGTTTTGAAGTAGGGGCCACATAGCCGAGTATTCGTCTCCCAATGCTTTCCTCTGCTGTAAGAAACGTTGCTTATCCAACTCTGGAAGCTTGCCAGGCTTGGCCGACAAGTACCAACGCATATTTCCAAAGGAAGCAAGGAAAAAGGCAGTGAATGCGATACGAGCCTCTTCCTCCGCTTGTTCGTTTTGAGAACCTTGTGTGAAAATGTAGTCGGGCAGTTGCTTTTCGGCAGCATCTTCTGCAACTTCATAACCACCACCTGCTTCATCAAGCTCGTCCCCGCTTCCAGAAGCGCTCTCCAATGTGGACTGTTTTTGCAGTAGCTTCTTTCCCTTGTTTCGCAACTTGGAGAATCCAGACTTGAGTGCTTTGGTGGCCTTGGCAGCAGTTTCCGCCACATTGGTCAAACCGGACTCCCCATACAAGGCTCGTTTGTCCGCCTTTAGCAGATCCAACAAGTCTTGCGCCAACATTTCAGTGGCCGACATGGAACCTTGCGGGGTGGCCACGTCTCCATAACCTCTGCGAAACAAATCGGGGATTTTGCGGTCCACGTCTGCACCATTGATTCCACGAGTTTCCATACGATTTTGATCCAAATTGATAATGATGATTTCTCCCAAATCTTTGGCCTGTTCCAATCGTGGTGCCATCGAAGCGAGCATTCCCATCAAGTATGGCATTGGTGCCGCAATATATTGGAACAAGTGTGGTGGCAAGACTGGAATGTAAACATGTTGCCAGTTCAACAGACCCTGCGCCAAGATGGATAGAGCGGAACGAGCACACTGGGCGAGCCGCGTCGGACTGTGAGAAATCAGCAAGATACGGCATTCACTCATCAAACCAGATATCAGTCGCATGCTATTTTCCACTCCCAATACACGAAGTAATGGCAAAGTGGAAGCATTGGTCATTATTTCCATCGACGAGGGTGTCGCCTGTAACAACTGGGTCGGAAGAAGAAACCTCGCGGCGTCCACCTGCTCCAATCCTACGATCCGCTTTTCGCCCGCTTCCAAGCAAGCTACATTGAGTAGCATCGGCTTTCTTTGTTCAAAGGGCAACGAATTGAATCTTGCACACAAATGTTGATGTTGATGAAAGAGTTTGAGGAGAAACCATTTCTGGGGTTCCTCATGCGGTTTGAGGTCATTAGTCATGACGGAGTCTTGAAAAGATAGCGCATCGATCGTTCTGCGGGAAGGCGAGGGAACGATAGATGTGAGTTGTTGATGATACTAGAAGCATTCATTCTACTTCCGACTACAAAAGTGACAGGGTGATTCTTTCTGTGACTCACTTGAGAATGGCGGAATAGACAAGGTCACTTCCACTGTTACGAGTCAACAAGACCAAGGCACGTTCTCCTCTTCGCCCAACGTCGTAACGAGACCTGACTTCGGCATGAGTGGGAAGATAACGCCGAACGTGTCCATGCAGTCGGACTCCCGTTTGCAACTGCAAAGAGAAGGTGTAATGTTGGAATCCTTTTGGTTGCATGGCGTACTGACTAAACTGATTCAAGATACTTTCCCGGGGAACATTGGTTGCCAAGGCATCGTCAAATTCTGGAAAGGCAAACCGGGCCACTCGAGAAAGATTGTCTGCGAGCTCCTTTTCCATTTCAGGCAAAGTTCCTGGTGCGGAAAGGGAAAAGGGAGGTGGACAGTTTGTGGTGGCAGCCGGATGTGGAAGATCCAAGAATTGATCAAAGAGTGGCAATGTAGGCGGAGCCTGTTGCCGTTGTGGTGGAGGGGCTTGCCCAGCTACTGCGGTTGCCATTGTGTCCAATGAATTATTCAAATTAAGTCACGGGGAAATCGTTTTATTGCGATTGCAAAAATTGAACCAATGAAACACCCAAAGATCGAAATGGCGACGCCCTCGTTTCAAGAAGACTGAATTGATAAAAGAAAGACTAAAATGGAAGGAAACCAGCGGATATCCAACACCTTCCAGCACTTGCACCGAAGTTGGTCTTTTACAAAATCTTGCCGGGAATTGAGCCGTTGGATGTGACTGTCGACTCACATGACTCTAAGTGCCGATCGATCCATTTATTCTCCAGAACGCCACCCTCCAAATCCCAAATGGCATTGTTAGGGTGTCAGGTGTCATCTAGAGTGTTAGCGATGTACACAACGTTGGATGTCTAATCTTTCATGCATTCATCTTTTCTCGCTCGAACATGAATCCACAACAGCATCATCAACAACAACAAGGAGAGAGTGCAATATCTGCCTCCAACGCCAGCAACATACCAACTGGACAACCTGCAGCGACGGCGTCCAACCCAATTTCAATTGGCCCACAGAGACCAGATTCTGCTCAACGAAATTCCAGTAGAGGTAGCCAACGATCGTCCCTACAATTGGACGAGCTTGGTGAAAATTGGGCTGAGGTTACGGATGTTTGGGAAGCCAACGTGGCTCAACCCAGTCGCAAGGCCTTACGCGAATTTTTCTATCCATCGCGACAGAGTTTGCAAAATAATGATGAGAATCAACAGCAACAAAGTCGACAACAATACGCAGAAGGTGGAGGATCCAATGCTGCCAACCCATCAGCAAGGTCAGCCAATCCCCAAACAATACGAAATGCTTCCTCTCCAACATCCAATGGTGCTCTGTCTCCCTCCACGTTTCGACAACCACCGCCCTCGATTGCTCAAAACCCAGATGTGATCGAACAAGAGCGGCAAGACAAGGAGTTTGTGGAAGATTTTTGGACCATTTACGATGATATTATCATTCTAAGTTTATTTACTCAAATTGGAATCATTTGCCGCTTGGGAGTGGCCTATAGTTTTCGAGTGTTGGACGCCGTCTTTCGGCAGGGGAGTGCCTTGTTTACAAATTTACCCTTGAATTGCTTTTCCTGCTTTGTCATGGGCTTGTTGTGCAGTGGGGAATCGCTAATGGAGATTGTGTCGACACGATTCAGTCCTCCACGGTTGCAGCACGATTTGCATCAAGAGGCTAGACAGCTGCTGGCAGAACAATCCATGGACGAGGAAGACATGATGGACGATCGCTCTACCGAGTCTCTTTCGTCAACCTATCCCCGCTTTGGAGGAACTCAAGCCCGACGGAGGAAAAAGAAGAATCGACGAATCATGGGCTGGCGTCCTAAATCTGATGACTTTTACAGCGAGTTACGGGAGGTTCAACTACTAGCCTTGGAACGAAGGATACGGGCATCGCCTTGTTTAGTCTTGTTTCATGTCCGAAAAGAAGACGTCGATCTGGTAGAAAACTATTTCAACAATGATATTTCCAACAACAAGAATGAAGACACATCAAATCAACAGACTGGAACCAGGACGGAAGAAAATGATGAGGGTAACGATGGTGAGCGATTTTCGTTAGATGAACACGATCTCGTTTTGGAAGAGACGCAAGACGATCCTGAAAATCGACGGACATTTGCGGCAGGACAAGAGTTATCGACAGCTTCCCTTCCGGCAAGTAAAAATGCAAATAAAAATGACCAGGACTCCAGCGGACCTATTGTTCCTGGTCGCAAACGAAAAGTGCGGATTGAATCAAGGGCATATGCCCAAATTACTCAAGCGGATAGTACTGAAAGTGCTGCTACACCCACCAATGCTGCCGCTGCTGCTGATCCAGCAGCACAGCCATTGGATTTGGAACAAATAGTGTCAAATGTTGCTACCGATGTGTCACAGCAGATTTCTCAATTGAGCCGCGTCACTCTAGCTGACGGATGGGATGTCGGAACCACACCTGACGATAAAAAGAAGGACCTCATGTTGGGGCTACGTGATGGCCTTTGTGGTGCCTTGTCTTCCTTTTCTTCCTGGATCTCCGCCATGGTCAGTCTACTTCGAGATGGCAAAGTTGGTGAGGCTTGTGTTGGAATTGTGATTGGAATTCAACTACCCATTGTGGCCTATCGATTTGGTCAGCATGTTGCCGTCTGCGTCTTTGTATGGAGATGCCGAAGAGAGACGAAACGAGACGAACGACGTGGTGGGTATGGAATCCGTTTAAGCACGGACGAGGAGGACGATATACAAGAACAGGAATTCCAGTCTCCCCAATCGGGAAATCTTGACAATCCGTATGCCGAAGACAACTCGGAAACACCATCTGTCCGAGCTGTCATCACGGCACTCTTTGTCATTTCCGTTGTGGCCCAAGTCACTTCATTGAACTTTTATTACGAACCAGATGATCGTCTACTTGCTTTCAGTCTCCTCTTTTCTCCATTGGGAGTCCTTACGAGATGGAGACTCTCCCGGTACAACTCCTGGAGACCAAACTTTCCTATTGGCACTTTTACTTGCAATATTTTGGCTTGTGCCTTGTCTGGAACCTTGGGAAACGTGTTGGCGGGTAACCCAGGGCCAACGGAGCGAATTGCTTTGGTGGCATTGATTGCTGGATTCGGAGGTACTCTTAGTTCGGTCGCCAGGTTCATTGTCGAGATGTTGGCCGGGGTGGACCCAATATTGTTGCGTATTGATGGGGCATATTACGGGATGATATCCATCTTTTGCGGCTTGCTGGTTAGTTTTGTATTTACGGCATCCGGTGACTGGGCAGATACTACCGGTACAGATAGATAAGATTCAGTAAATCGTCTGCAAATTGGTATTGATTCGATTCGTTAGAGTAACTTTGACGTGGGAAGAACGGACATCGGCTTTGGCGATTTTCATTTTCAATTTGCGTGACACGACCACAAAAAACAGGAGGCACCTCAACCCAGCAAGCAAGAACAATGATTGCAAGCAGAATATTGATAGTTGTCACAGAGCTGCTGCTATTTCTGATATGTTCCTGTACAGTCAATGCAAATAGATCAATGTACTACAATAGCGTTCAACCTTCTGGATACCGTGACTCTACACTGCTTCGGTCGAGACGATCATCTCGATATTTGTCGTCAGGATTACATTCCACCGCAACACTGGTTGGTCGAAGGAAGAAGAAAGTTGCCATAGAAGAATCAGTATCAGTACCCAGCACTCCTGAAGCCCCAACGGTTTCATTTGACGACCTGTCTCCTGTTGGCAAAGTCATTGCTGGAACCACTCAAATCGCCGTTACGACCGCTATGGACTTTGTGTCTGGCTTTCTCTCAGGCTACGTACTCGGAACAATAGTCGGTGTCCCTATGCTTTTGATTAAACCATTAGATTCTGGTGTTCCAAGGGTCTTCATGACGGAAGTGAAAGGGCGATTGGGTCGCATGAATGCCAAGTCAATGAGGTGGGGAACCGGTTGGGGTGGGATGTCAGCTGCTTTTGGTGGGTTCAAGACTAGTGTACTAGTTCTACGGAATGGAAAGCATGATTCTTGGAATGAGGTATTCTCGAGTGCTGCCGCTGGTGCGTGGTTTGCTCGAAAAGGTAGGTCAAAGATGAGTAAAATTTTGGTGGGTCAAAAGTAGCTATTCTCATCTCATATATTATGTGTTCAATCAACCGCATCTCAGAGGGACCACAAGCAATGTTGAAGGGTGCTATCCTGTATGGGGGTATGATATACGTTTTCTCTGGCGCTGGCAGGCGAGGGACTCTTCCACCAGAGGAATATACAGAGGCGCCTGTCGAGTTCTAATGTCTCTTTTCTTGCTTGGAAGCAAGGATGCATGGCTTGGATCGGCCCCAGTCGTCTGAGCAGACATTGAGTTCTATTCCAGAAAGCTGTGATTGAATGGAAGCAAATGCAGACGGAAATATTTTACCAAATGGGGGTACAGTTATAGCATAGACGGTGGTGAATGA